TCTTACTCCACTTCCTGCGCCAGCCTCCGTAGCACTGGCTGATCCCACTTGAGGACCAGTCATTGCCTGCTATGCTACTACGCTTCTGGGGCCGGCTGTTCCTCAGGTTTCCTGACCGGCTTTCACGTCCCCTCGATCTCCACAAACTTGGTGGGTGTGAGGCCACTCGTGGACAATCACGAGGGTGTTTGACTTGAGCCTTCTGGGGACTCTACGACCCTGTGTAGATGGTGACACCTACGTGCCCCTGGCCACCTTTCACGCTGAGCCGTTCTCTGGTCTCTACACACTTCACACTGGCCATCGAGAGAGGCAGCAGCTGCCTCCGACTCTTGTCACTGCCCCCCGTTAGGTCCCCCAGGTTGCCACCTCCCACCACGAAGCTCTGTCTGGTAGGGTTCCAGCGTACAGTCCGGTTGCTGCGTCTTATTCGTGTCGGTCGCTTGCCCACCCCACCGTTATGTACCACCACCGCCTTGCTGACCCGTCCATTCATCGCCTGCGCCTTACCACCTCGCGCCCCTTGCGTCGAGGGTCGGCTGCGCGCCACCCCTCACTCCTCCTCCCTTTGAGACTCTCCACTTGGACGTCTAGGGCCCCGCCTCTTGCCCTAGCTCTGAGGAAGAGAGTTTCTTTCTGGTGGTCGTTGACGACTGCTCTCGCTACATCATCGTGATTCCTCTGGCGAAGAAATCCGACGTGACTTCTACACTGATCTGGTGGTTACTCGCCACTGAAGACACTCGTGGCCGTCGTGTCAATTGTCTCCACTACGACCTTGGGGGTGAGTTTCGCTCCGGCGTGCTCGCCGGATTCTGTCGCGAGAAGAGCATCCGTCAGTCCTGGACGCTTCCAGAGTCCCCACAGCAGAATGGGGTTGCTGAGCGCCGCATAGGCTTGGTCATGGATATTGCATGCACCTCCATGATTCATGCCAGTGCGCCCCATTTTCTGCTCACCAGCTGAAGCCATGTGTTTCCCGACCAAGGGCTTCACCGACTTCTCTTTGGACCGGGTCCCCTGGTGTTGCGTCGCGTTTTCGTGTCTGGGGCTGCTTGGCGCTTGTTCGCAACACCTCCGTGGACAAGATTTCGCCTCGCGCCATTCCCTGTCTCTTCCTTGGTTTCCCCGTGGACACGTAAGCGTGATAGGACCCCCAAGGCAGCAGCAACCATCAATGGTTGCTGCTGCCTTTGCCTCGGACACGAAAGAGAAACAATATTGAGCCTAGCGAGGACTCATCGTCCTCTCAATAGCATATATCAAGGCTTGAGAATAGTTTTGCTACTTCCATCTTAGCAAAATCGCGCCCCTCACCGAAACTCTTCAAGAGATCGTAGACGCGTTTTCCATAGACTTGGACCAGTGAAACCTATGCAAGTAATGGAAGCTTCGGAGGGAGACATGGGGAAAACGACATGGCTGAGGGGCACATGGGCAGAATGGGGTGGCCGAGAAGACACGCGCACAAGGGCATGGAAGAGGGGCCCATGGGCAGAAACGGGTGGCCGAGAAGACATGCGCACAAGGGCGTGGAAGAGGGGCACATGGGCAGAACGGAGTGGCCGAGAAGACATGCGCACAAGGGCGTGGAAGAGGGGTACATGGGCAGAACGGGGTGGCCGAGAAGACATGCGCACAAGGGCGTGGAAGTGGGGCACATGGGCAGAACGAGGTGGTTGAGAAACGTGGCTGCATGGGATGTGGGGAAACGTGGCTGAGGGGGGTGTGGGAAAAACGCGGCTAATGGGGATGTGGGAAAAAACGGGCATGGCTGAGGGGGATGTGGGAAAAACGGCATGGTTAAAGGGGATGTGGGAAAAATGGGCATGGCCGAGGGGGGTGTGACAAAAACGGCATGGCTTAAGGGGATTTCGGAAAAACGGGCATGGCCAAGGGGGACGTGGGAAAAACGGCATGGGTGAGGGGGATGTGGGAAAAACGGCATGGCTGAGGGGGATGTGGGAAAAATATGGATGCGGGGGATGTGGGAAAAATGCGGCTGAGGGGGATGTGGGAGAAACGTGGATGAGGGGGATTTGGGAAAAATGTGGATGCGGGGGATGTGGGAAAAACGCGGTTGAGGGGGATCTGGGAAAACCGCGGCTGAGGGGGATGTGGGAGAAACGTGACTGAGGGGGATGTGGGAAAAACGTGGCTATGGGGGGTGTGGGAAAAATGTGGCTAAATGGATGTGGAAGAAACATGGCTGCCGAGGATGTCGGAAAAACGACATGGCTGAGGGGGATGCAGGAAAAATGTGGTTGTGGGGAATGTGGGAAAATCGTGGCTGATGGGGATGTGACAAAAAGGTGGTTGTGGGGGATGTGGGAAAACGTGGCTGCGGGGGATGTGGGAAAAAAGTGGCTGAGGGGGATGTGGGAAAAACGTGGCTAAGGGGGATGTGGGAATAATATGGCCGCTAAGGATATGGGATTAACGTGGCTGTGAGGGATGTCGGAATAACGTGGTTGAGGGGGGTGTAGGAATAATGTGGCGGATCGGGAATGTGGGAAAAACGTGGTTGTGGGGGGATTTGGAATAAACGTGGCTGATGGGGATGTGAGAAAACATGGCTGAGGTGGATGTGGGAAAAACGTGGCTGAGGGGGATGTGGAAAAAACATGGCTGAGGGGGATGTGGGAGAAACATGGCTGCAAGGGATGTGGGAAAAACGGCAGGGCTGAGGGGTATGCAGGTTTAGGGCGTGTAACAATTTTTGAAATTGCTGAAAGTCCGGACGGTTGTCCAGACGCGTGCAAAGTTTGCGACGTCGTGCAGTCGCGTCGCAACCAATGCGATGTCGTTAGAAAGCCAAACGAAGCACATGACGTCGTGTTTCCAGACATCAAGGCCTTGTTCTGCAGGCGCATCAATGTACATTGCTACAATTTCCCCGCGTTTCAGGATCCTTCTTTGATAACCCGCTGGCAGGTTATCAAGGCTCGAGAGAAGAACATGGCTGCCTTGGCAAAGCAAGCCCGAATGCCTGCAGAATGAATGCCTGAATGCCCGAATTCCTTTTTGGCCCTCAAAATTTGTAGTGTTACTGCGTTTCAAGAAGCTTCTTCTCCTAGCAATCGGGCGCATTTTAAATGCGTCCATCATGCAACATGGAAAAATCGCTTCATGCGCATATCATGCAATTTTAAAAAATCCCTGCAACTTCATTGGTCAACCAGTTTAGCACTTCGAAATTCAGCGAGATTTAACTTCCGAGAAACCTGTAACATTCAGAATGTTGAAATTTGTCAAGAAATTGAATGTCCAATTTCCTAACCTCGATTCGTTTTGTCAAATTTTCCAAACCTCAATTCCCAATGTTCGGGCTTCAATTTCTCAATCTCCATTTCGCATGTTCCGCACCCGAATTTTTCAATGTGCGCATCAGGCCGAGCCTCGGACGCATCAAAACTGATGCGCCTGCATAACGCAACCCAAATCCAAATGTCCGAACCTCAATTTATGGATTTCCAATTTCTCATTTCCTAACCTCGAATTCACAATGCGCACATCAGGCCGAGCCTCAAACGCATCGAGCTGGGCTTAGCTCGACAGCCAGGGGGAAGCAAAAATTTAGGAACATGAGGGGAAGGTGAGGCGCGCGCTAAAGCAGGGTTAACGAATTTTGACTCTGGTTTGACTGCTCCGCGGACAACCTGCGTCATGGGGGAGCTGGCGCAGGTTGGAGGGGGAGGATGGAAAACAGCACCGCATGTCTCGGCACATTTGCTTGGACATTTGAATGTCACAGGGACTTGTAGCGGGCTCTTTCCAATCAAAAAAATGGGGTGGCTGCCCCATGCTATTGGAGTAAATGTTTTTTTTTTTTTTTTTTGGTGCATGAACCCTTTCACTCGTAGGGTGCAATGTTGTCCCGTGAACAGTGTATATTGTGGAATCAAATTCTAGTTTTTTTTATTGGACAAGAATAATTTTTTTATTCGTCTCACTACGGCGGAAGCTTTCCGCTAGGGGGGGAGGAGGGGGGGGGGGGGGAAGGACAGAAGACGGCGCGGAATCAATCTCCGGTGGTGTGACTGCTGTAAAACACCTGCGCATCGGCTTCCAAAAATTTCAACCCTACAGCCCTAGCTGATGCGATTGGAAGCTTCATAGAAGAAGCTTCAAATTTTCCTTCCGTCCTTTTTCCGTAGGTGCCGAACTGAGCCCTGATGCGCCTGTAGAACGCAGCCAAGGTCTGGAGATTATAAAAATTTTTGTTAACAATTTCCGTGATTGAACTGGTTACCAAACGTTGGCAGAACTGATTGGGGAAATTCGGCAGCATACCGCGCTATGTTTGCCTCCCTGATTCAGTCTTGCTCGTTTTTTATGCTTATTCGACCTCAAAACGACGTCACCCGTCCTATACCACCCGTGCCTCCATTCCAAACCAACAGCCGCGTCAGTCGAGAGAGAAGAAGCGCACAACGCACTCAACAGTTAAGCAGTAGTACTGCCTCGCCCAAAGGAAACGGGTAAGCCCCTGGCAGCCGAGTCGCCACACCACCTCGCATGTAGCCATGCTCGCCCGCCTAGAAGTACCATCGTAGCTCGTAGCCATGTTGAAAAGAATAGCGCCAACCCACCGCGATTGGGGAGAAACACAGCGAGATCTTAGATCTTGCATTCATTTCCTCTCCCATCCCTCTGATACCCCAATTCGCGACCCTCAGATATTTGACGCGTATCACAAAAGGTCTTCCACTTCTTATTTGCCTCCCTCCCCACCCCTGCCCAACCTTTTTGGCGACTTCTGTATCACAGCAAACCAGGGTGTCAACAATTCTTAACCAGGGCGCAATTCTGAACGACGTTGTCCATGGATACAATTTGGTGTTTGGCCAGAAGTACCCCGAAGCTTGCCAGCATCAACACGCGAATCTCGTTTTCTCAAGCAAAGCTCTCGAGAAGAGCGCTGAAAGTAAGCTCTCCGGCTCTTCCCATCTAACGCCTCTTTCGCTACTCTTTCATCCCTCCTCGTTCGTCCTTGGCGGATGCTTTTCCTGGCCCCGGTCGGTCCACTTTTGTCGTTCAATCGTTTTCGTCGTGTTCCCCAGCGAATCTCCCGTCCACTCAGGCTGGAGGCAAGCCTTCTTGCTGGCCCTCCCTCGCTCCCCCCTCCCCTGCTCCCCCCTCTTCTACTCCCCTCCCCTGCTCCCCCTTGTGCTGCTTCCCCCTCCCCTGCTCCCCCTTGTGTTGCCCCCCCCTCCCCTGCTCCCCCAAGTGCTGCTCCCCCCTTCCTTGCTCCCCTTGCGCTGCTCCCCCCTCCCTTGCTCCCCCTTGTGCTGCTCCCCCCTCCCCTACTCCCCCTTGCGCTGCCCCCCCCCTCCCCTGCTCCCCCTTGCGCTACTCCCCCCTCTCTTGCTCCCCGCTGCTCTGCTCCTCCCTCCCCTGCTCCCCCTTGCGATGCTCCCCCCTCCCCTGCTCCCCCTTGCGCTGCTTCCCCCCCCCCCCCCCCCCCCTGCTCCCCCTTGTGCTGCTCCCCCCTGCTCTGCTCGCCCCTGCTCGTCACACACTTCCCTTCTCGCAAGTAAGCTCCATGCTCGACCGCGAGTCCTTCTCGCACGCAACTCCTCACCCCTCCTTCCCTCATCGCGCTTTCCGCTCTTTCCCCGCATTAACTGTTCCACCCTTCCCATATCCTCCTACCATGCTCGTTCGTGCGTCAGGTCTCCCCGTCTCGCATTCAAGTACGATGCTCAGCAGCGGATTTGTCAAGTTTTGAGGCGCCTCAAAAATTGCCATTCAAGTACGATGCTCGGGAGCAGGGAGCAGGGAGGCTTAGGCAGGCGGAGAAGCACGGGATGCAGTTCAGTGCTGCCTTCCTCCCCCCCCCCTCCTTTCCCACGCCCCTCCTCTCCTCCCCTCCTCACCACAGGTGTTCCCCTCGCGCGTTCGAGTATGATGCTCGGCCGCAGGTTCGTCGCACGGCCATGACAGGGCGAGCAGGGAGGCGCAGGCAGCCAAGGAGGCGATGGAGATGCTGTGGCGCTCGCACAGCGGGGCCAATGCTACTGACCCGTGGATCAGACCGGGGTGTACAGCAGTGGAGGAGTGAGCCATGGTGGGATGCAGCACGGTGGGATGCAGCAGCAGGCTCACGCGCATCCGCTGCCCGTGCCTGCCAGGGGGTTTGAGTATGGCGAGGAGGAAGAGGAGGGTGCGGGCGCGGGCGGGTTTACTCTGGAGAGCGTGAGATCGCTGCTGGAGGCTCTTGAGTTGGAGGCAGCAGAGGAGTCTAAACACGCCCTTAGGTGAGCAGCACGCACGGGCTGAGATGCACGTGCGGGTGCGGTGGGTTCACTACCGAGGAGCGTGCGATGCTGCTGGAGGCGCTTGAACTGGAGGCGGCGGAGGAGTCGAAGCACGCGCTCAGGTGAGCAGCTCGCACGGGCTGAGGTGAGCCGCACGCATGGGGTGGCGTGGGTATGGTCAAGAGGAGGCGAGGGTGCGACCCAGGGTGGGAGTTCACCCCGGAGAGCGTGCGATCGCTGCTGGAGGCGCTTGAACTGGAGGCGGCGGAGGAGTCTAAACACGCACTCAGGTGAGCAGTATGCACGCCCCTTGGTGAGCAGCACGTACGGGCTGAGGGTGGATGCACAGGCGGGTTCACTCCGGAGAGCGTGCGATCGCTGCTGGAGGCACTTGAACTGGAGGGTGGACAAGTGCATTTATCTACCCTACCTAGGCCCAATAATTCTTACTAAGCCACCATGTTTTCCGCACAAGGGCTTTTTAACAAACGGGTACAATGTTTTACTACTACTACAATGTCGTGCCATGTTTTCCACACCAGGGCTTTTTTACTACTACAACAATGTTTTCAACTAAACAAGTTGCTGCCACGGAAAGTCATGCCTCCTAAGCGGGGATCTATCGGACTCCCCTTCCTCCCCACTCTTCAGTATCGTTGTCGGTGACCCCATTCATCTACCCTAACCAGCCCCTCCTCCCCTCTCACTATCCCCCCTTGGCAGCATCGTGGACTGGGTGCTGTGGGTGGACAAGCACGGTTACTTAACCACCGACATGCACCGACACGGCACAGTTACCTAACAACGTCCTTCCCCCCTCCCCTTCTCATGGCACCATTGTGGACTGGGTGCTGTGGGTGGACAAGCACGGTTACCTAACCACCGATACGCACCCCCACCCACCCCCAACCCTTCCCCCCTCCCTTCTCATGGTAGCATTGTGGACCGGGTGCTGTGGGTGGACAAGCGCAGCGCAACTACCCTAACCAGGACCTCCACCCCTCTTCCTCCCTCCTCTCCTAGCCCCCTTCTCTTCCCCATGGCAGCATCGTGGACAGGGTGCTGTGGGTGGACAAGCGCAGCTACCAACGCTCCTGCTCCTTGTATCCCTCCCCCCCCCCGCGCCCCTCCCCCCATGGCACCATTGTGGACCGGGTGCTGTGGGTGGACAAGCGCAGCGCAACTATCCTAACCAGGACCTCCACCCCTCTCTCTTCCTCCTCTCCTACCCCCCTTCTCTTTCCCATGGCAGCATTGTGGACTGGGTGCTGTGGGTGGACAAGCGCAGCTACCAACTCTCCTGCTCCTTGTATCCCCCCCCGCGCCCCTCCCCTCATGGCATCATTGTGGACCGGGTGCTGTGGGTGGACAAGTGCAGCGCAGCTACACTAACCAGGACCTCCCCCCCCCCTTCTCTCGCTCGCTCCCCCCATGGCAGCATCGTGGACCGCGTGCTGTGGGTGGAGTGGAGAAGCGCAATTACCAACCCATCCTACCCAGCCCCCCGCCCCACAACCCCTTCTCCTTCCTCCTTCTCATGGCAGCATCGTGGACCGCGTGCTGTGGGTGGACAAGCGAGTGCGCGACTACATGACTTCCCACCCCATCTGCCTGCACCGCGACATGACCCTCCGCGATGCCACTGAGGTGAGAGAGAGGCGGGTGAGGGGGGAGAGAAAGGGGTGATGGGAGGGAGAGGCGGGTGGGAGAGGGGAGAAAGAGGCAAGTGGGAGAGGGGAGAGAGAGGCAAGTGGGAGAGGGGAGAGAGAGGCGGGTGGGAGAGGAGAGAAAGAGGCGGGTGGGAGAGGGAAGAGAGAGGCGGGTGAGGGTTTTTCCTCTTTAATTCTCCTTCTCTCCGTCCTGTGCAATCGCATACAAATCTTCCTTACTCTTTCTTCACACCAAATCTTCCTGCGCCGTCAGCATAAGATGGCACCAGTGGTGGAGGTGGATGAGCAGGGAATGCCTCAGAGAGAGGGAGTTCGAACATGCCTCCCCTCTCCTGTCCTCCCTTTTCTCCCCATTCTTCTCTACTCCTCCACTCTCCATTCATCGTATGTAGATTCTCCTGCGCCATCGCATAGGTGGGGCGCTAGTATTGCAGGCACAGGAGGAGAATGGCTGAGTGACATCATACATGCCTCTCTCCTCCTCTCCTCCCCTCTTCTTCCTCACTCCTCTCTGCAGATCTTCCTGCGCCATCGCATCAGCGGGGCACCAGTGGTGGAGGCACCATACAGACAGACGGTCTTATCTGAGTGGGAACCCCCGGCGGACAGAAGGCTGTCGCCGGCAGCGGCGGAGTCGATGACTGCCGAGTGGTCGGAAGAGGAGGTTAAGAGCGCGTTTCAGTCGATGACGAAAAACAAGGCTCCTGGCCGGGACGGCTTGCCAAAAGAGCTCTTTGAAGTGCATTGGGACATCCTGGGCGAACACTTCATGTCGCTGGTGAAAAGTTTCTCGGACACGGCGTCCCTTCCAGCCTCCACCAAGGACGCGGTGACCATCCTGCTGCACAAGAAAGGGGGGAGAGATCAGCTGGAGAACTACCGCCCCATCACATTGCTCAGCTTCACCTACAAAGTGATAGCGCGTGTAGTAGCGGATAGGATGAAAAAGGTGCTCTCGGAGGTAGTCTCACTGGAGCAGTTTGGCTTCTTGTCGGACGCAGTGGGGCTGGTGGCGGACATCATCGAAGCAGCCAAAAATAAAGACAAAGAATGGTACCTCTTGCTCGTTGACTTCAGGAAGGGCCTTCGACTCGGTGTCGAGGGGATTCCTGTTTACGGTGCTGGAGAAGATGGGCTTCCCTCCCCGTTTTGTCGGTTGGATTCGAGGCCTGCATGAGAACACACGGACAAGCATGTTGGTAAACGGTTGGATGGGTGAAGCAATTGAAGTGGTCTCGGGAGTGCGTCAGGGTTGCCTCCTTGCGCCTTACCTGTTTCTGTGCGCGGTGGAACCGCTGGCGCAGGAAGCGGCGAACCGGAAGATAGGCATATCTGCGGGTGATCAGCGGCTGGCGTACCTCGGTTATGCTGACGACACAACTCTTATCCTGAAGGGGGAGGAGGAGATTGCAGCAGCAGAGAAGTTGTTAGAGGAGTTTGCAGGGGAGTCAGGCCTCGCTACTAACAAGGAGAAGTCAGTTGTCTTACCACTGGGGTCGAACCTGGGCAAGCAGCCATGGAAGACCGATGGCTTCAAATGAGCGAAGGCTGATGAGGCAGAAAGGCTACTGGGGGTGTGGGTGACTCCCGCCGGTAGCTGCAACCCCACATGGGAGAAAGCTTTCGCACAGATTAAGCGGAAATTGTCACAGTCGGAGGCGCAACACCTCACAACCGGCGCGCGTGCTGCGGTGATAAACTGCTACATCTCACCGATAATTTTCTTTCAGACCCAGGTGTACCCGCCACGGTGGATATTTGGGGGAGGATACTGAAACTGACGCACAACTTCATGTCGGGAAACCAGGCCTCTACCGACAAGGAACTCATACTGTGGAGTAGAGAGCTGCTGTACATGGCCAGAGAAGAGGGGGGCGTCAGTGTGAAAGACCCGGAAATCGCACTTACCAGCCTAATCGCCAGAAAGATCGGGCTACTGCTCACCGAGACGAACGCGCTGAAACGCGATATCATGCTCCAGGCTGCGGACTTGCCGCTGGGAATGGATACCCTCGTTGCTCACATGAAGCTGCTCAAATGCTGGTGCGGGAAAAGCGAGCGGTGGAAGCTTGCGTGTGCTAACTTCATGCAGTCGCCGCTCGCCAGCACGCCACTTGACTTATCACGGGAGGAAGCGGTGAGGGAAAGGATCATTTTCAACCGCCACATCCTGATGAAAGGCACGACTCCGGTGGGCAGCCAGAAAGCAGCGGAGAAATTGTGGGTGGTGCGCCTGGGCGACCTGCTGACTGCGGGTGGCGATGGGAGCTGGCGTGTAAAGGATGATAAAACCCTAGCGAAGGAGCTCGGTGGCTCAAAGCAGGCAAAGCTCGCTTTACGGGCGTGGGAAGCAGAACCGCAGAGCTGGAAGCTGCTTCTCCTCTCCGCGGAGCAATCTGGTGCACCCGCCACCCAGCTCCGCATTCCGCTCCAGCGCACAGCTGCTTTCAATGGTGGGGGGTTACCATCGCTGAAGGAGTTAACAGGGAACTGGCAACAGTCGAAACATCAATCGGCCAAACGGGGGCTCTGGGCGGGCAGATGGGCAGGAGCTATTGACTGGAAAAGGGTTGTGAAAAATCGGGACTCGCTTGTGACACTGAACCGCCCGCGTGATGTGCTGCTGAGGATCCACAGTCTCAACCTTCAAGTGCGAGAAAGGCTTTCTTTCTTGAGCGGAAAGCCGGTCTGCCTGCACTGTGGGGAGTTTGAAATTCTGGAGCACTGCCTCTACACCTGTCCAAAAATCCAGACGGTTGTGGTTGTCAACGGGAGTTGTGTGTTGGCCCCGTCCTCGCTTGGGCGGAGCCGACTTCGTGGTCGGGTGTAGGGGTGCAGCCGACCTGTAGCAGTGGGCGAGCTGCTCGAAGGATGTGGTTGGTCGACCTGCACGGGGAGCCACTGCATGGGCGTCGACTTCGGGAGGGCGCCAGCTGAAGGTGGTCGACCTGGGAAGTCGACCTGCGGAGGGCGTCGACTTGGTGACGCCAACTTGGGGTAGCCGACTTGGATGGTCGGCTGACAGACCTTCTGGTCGACCTGGTAAGTCGACCAGGCCTTCTGGTCGACCTGGGAAGTCGACCAGGTCTTCTGGTCGACCAGGAGTGACGTCGACCTAGAGCTGGTCGACCAGGGAGTAGTGGTCGACCTGAGGAGGTCAACTGGAGGTGGCCGTCGACTTGGGAGGTCGACGGGCACGCACAGGAGCAGCTGGTCGACCTGGTTGCCTGGTCGACCAGGTTACCTGGGTGACGAGGGTCTACGAAGACACACGAAGGTCGCCCAGGCGAGGTTGGCGAGGACGACCTCGGTGGTGGTATCCCGAGGTCGACCTGGCAGATGAGATGCAGTCGTCAGCACAAGGTGGACTTGGTGTGTGCGCTGTGCAGGTGACGAAGCAGTGCGCGCCAATCACCTACGAGCACCTGCGAAGCCGGTGTGATGCTGGACTGCAAGAGCAGCGCTGGCACGCCGTCGACTTGCGCTGTTGTTACGCCGTCGACCTGCAGCGTTGGCAAGCCGCGTCTCTGCACTGCTGGAACGCGGTCGACCAAGTCGTGCTGGCGCGCGGTCGACCGTGCTGCGCTGGCAGTCGACCTGCTTGCATCCTAGCTCTGATGTAGTCTTTCCTAGCCAACTTCATTGTATCATTGTTGTCAACTTTCTCTAGTGAAACTCTTGCCAAATTGCCTTGTGAACTAGCAAGCAGTGTGTGCACTAGGAAAACGACTAAGGACCAACGAACGCAGAGATCACACGAGCACCCGTGCCTAGCCCGTAGTCTAGCTCCCGTTGTAGTAGTTATCTCCGCATGGTGCGGTGAGCGTGGTCGGCACCCGACTCACCTTTTCAGTCAGGTCGACGTAGAGGTCACTTACCTAAGTTGTTCGTAGGCCGGCAGCCGTGCAGTCACGCGTAGGTGACGCCTAGGGAATGGAGACCCTGGAGGCACAGCTGGAGGCCGCGAGGATACGTCATGCGGCCCAGGATTACGGGACGATCCCCTGGGCGGTTGTGGAGGCTGGCATTCGCACCATGTGGGCGACGTTGCACCCTCCTCAACCTGCGTCTCCTCGACCGGTGAACACAGAGGGCGGCGTCGACGTGGGCATCAACGCCGAGGGTGGCCAGGTCGGCAGCAGTGCGGGAGGCACGTCGAGGCAGAGAGGTGTGATACACGCCGATGAAGTCGGCGGCGTTCAGGGGCGAGGGATGGGGTCGACGTCGGCTGCAGGCACCTCGCAGGGCGACGTCGGAGGTCGACGAAGCGGGTTGTCGCCGATGTCGGCGACTCAGGTGACGGCAGGCGGGATTGCTCCGAGCTACGGCTACTTCAAGTTCACGCCGGACAGGATCCTGGTCACCCCACCGCTCACTGGTCGACCCGACATCCTCACCTGGAAGGAGGCCATTGAGCCCCAGCTGGAGATGGCCGGGCTGATCAGCTTTGCTCGAGGCACCGTGGAGACGCCGGACGACCCCGACTTGCGTGCAGAATTTCGTGCCGTGCAGCTGTTGACCTTCACGGTCATCTCACGGTGCTGCTCGCCGGGCGTGCAAATCGCCTTGAAGTGGTGCCGGGAGTACCTCGACGCCGGCCACCAGGCGTGGCAATCATTGAGTCGACCTACCAAGTCACCGACGACTTGTTCATCGCCCAACTGGAGGGACAGCTGACAAACCTGCGTATGGGCGACGAGGAGACAGCGACCGACTACTGCAACCGTGCCCGGCGAATTCTCGCCACCATCAGGATGGCCGGCGCGCAGTACTCGACGGCGTCGTACGTCACCCACGTCATGCAGGGACTCTCGAGCAGCTACAACCTTCTGAAGCGGCTGTCAATGGCGCCGAGCACGAGGACGACGCTCAACGAGGACAACTTGACCTCGTACATCCTGCAAGACGAGGCGATGCAGGAGGCTGAGCGGTCCCAGGAGCTCTTGGCGCAGGCGAACTTCGTCGCCCCAGCGAAGCAAGGAGGCCGACCGGGGCAGCGCGGACAGTCTGGCGGCGGAGGTTGCAGTGGCTGGAAGTCGGCCAAGGAGGTCGACAAGAAGAAGTCGACCAAGGACAGTGGTCGAGGAGGAGGAAGTCGGCGTCGGGAATGCTGGATCTGCCACAGCCCCGACCACCTCTCCTTTGAGTGCCCCGACCGCAGCGAATCCGACGACGACGACGCCAAGGGAGGCCGCGGGAGGTCGGCCAGCCGTCGTCCACGTCGAGGCAACCAGCCGCGCAAGGAGAAACAGTCGAACAAGTCGACCTCGGCAAAGGACGCCGACTCCTCTGCTGGCGGCAAGGGGAGCGACGACAATACGGCGTCGTGCTCTCTGGTCGGCGTCGTGGAGCCGACCGTCTCGCTGGTACCGGAGGCCGGCAAGGACTTCCAGGCGGTGGCGGCAGCTATGCAAGCTAATCCGGCGGTAGTCTTGCTCGACAGCGGCTGCTCCCACCACCTGATGGGGACCAAGGACGCCTTCGTCGACCTGGGGCCGAGCGGCGACGTGAAGCACGTGCGGTGCTTCAATGGGGCGCTGCAAGACGTCCAGGGCCGGGGCACGGTCGCCCTGCAAGGCGAGGCCGGGAAGCAGGTTCTCATCCCCGACGTGCTGTACGTCCCGGGTGTGCGGGCGAACCTGTTGTCGTCCGGCCAGCTGAAGGAGCACGGCGTGAAGTTTCGGGAGGACGGCGACGGGATGCTGCTCGTCTCGGCAGCAGGAGAGGTGCTTGGTCGGGCGACGTACTCCGGGCGAGTCCTCTGCACCGACCTGCGTCCCTGCTCAACGAGGTCGACGTCGCCCACGCCGGAGGTTGTGGCCCTGCGGGCGATCGTCTCCAAGACAATGTCGTCGCCGGCCAGGATGCATGCTCGGCTTGCGCACGTCGGCATGGACACCATCAGGAGCTCGGCGAAGAACGAGGTCGCCATTGGGCTGGACCTCAAGTCGGCGACGGGCGCCGACTCACCGTGTGTCTCGTGCGTCGGCGGGAAGCTGGCACGGCACACCTTCCCCGACCAAGGCTCCGACGACGCCGACTTGCTAGCCGTCGTCCACATCGACTTGTGCGGGCCATTCCGGGTGGCTGCCAAGGATGGCAGCCTGTACTTCTTGCTGTTGAAGGACCGTAAGTCCCGCTACGTGTGGGTGAGGCCAGTCGCCAAGAAGTCGGATGTGCTGCTGGAGTTCCAGAAGTGGCTGGTGCTGGTGGAGAGGCAGACGAAGAAGTCGGTGCTGATGTTGCGTTCGGACCAGGGCGGAGAGTTCCTCGGGAAGACGTTCACCGACTTCGTGGACGGAAAGGGGATCGTCCACGACTTGACCTGCCCGTACACCCCGCAGCAGAACGGCATGGCGGAGCGGGAGATGCAGACAGGGGTGGAGTCGGTGAGGACAATGCTGCTGCACATGGGCGTGCAGCACCGCTGGTGGCACCTCGCTTTACGGCAAGCTGTCTGGGTCCGCAACTGCCTGGAGCACTCGGCGACGCCGGGGACGACGCCGTACCAGCTGCTGACCGGGACGAAGCCCGACTTGTC